GCTTTAGGTACATTTCATTGTCCAACAGTTAAAATTATTTCATTTATCCTAAAACACATGTTTCAGAGATTATTTGACCATGAAAATCAATCAGTTGTATGGATTTTTCTAGTGCCCACAGTAGCCTTTTTTCTACTTCTAATTCTTTTCCCTTCCTCTATTTGTCTAAATACATTTTCTTAAAGAAAAGCAAGGGACTATATGTGACCTCCTCCCTGGGGGACGGACAGCGGAGAGGGGGGTGAAGGGAGACGTTGGACACGGCAAGATATGACAAAATAACAATTTATAAACTATCAAGGGCTCATAAGGGAGGTTGGAGCGGGGAGGGAGGGGAAAAATGAGGACCTAATGTCGGGGGTTTAAGTGGAGGGAAAATGTTTTGAGAATGAAGTAAAAATGCGCTCTACACAATTGGTGTGTGTATGGATTGTGATGGGAGTTGTATGAGCCCCTAATAAAATGTTTTAAAAAAATAAAAATAAAATTTTAAATAAAACATTTTTTAAAAAAAAGAAAAATACAAAAAAAAATAAAATAAAATAAATAAATAAAAAGGAAAAAGAAATCCAAATAGGCTCCACTCATATTTGTTCATCAAGAAATTATATTCTGTTTTTCTTTCCTAAAATGGGAACTTTGGATGGGATACACAGCACACAACAGGGGCATGATTCAAGTGTCTGAAAGAGCAGCAAAAAGTCTAAATACATGCAGGACCTACTCATAAACTTTTAGTGCCAGACTTCCTTTGTAATGTGTTAGCGTGAGTACACACTCCCCACAAATGCGTCTTGTTCAGTACACAGTGTCCTCCCTCCCTGCTCTGACACAGTTGCTGTCTAGTCCGCTCTGTGGAATCACCAGAATGGCTCTGAGTGACTCAGCCAGAGCACGAGGGCTCCCACGTCTGCTTCGCATCCGTCTTTCTTTCCCCTCTCCGTTCCACTCCTAGCACGGAAGTACCGACGTCCGTCTTCCTCACTGTCTGTTTCATTGCCTTCCTGACTGTTTCTACTATGAACACCACCAACGAGATGACAGTCCTGCCGTTCTAGTGATGGTCCTATGCCACTGAGTTACTTTTGTGAACGTTAAATTATAACATCACTAGATTTCTGAAGCTATTCTATACTTTTCTTTCTACTGTACGAGTTCAACCTGTCTTTCATTTCTCATCTTTCATTGTCTTCTATGTGAATCTTTTCTCCAACTAAAGGAGAATTGAGATTTGTGCTCTATCTGCTGTTTCTCTCTTCAACTGTTTACACAATTAGAACATTTAATCGCTGTTAACATACCCCATGAAATTATTGGAACATTCGACCACCCATCTTTAAAGACATTTTCTCCAAGATAATTTTCCAGATTTGATGGTCCTTTCGGAAATTATATGACTAACATTTTTATCTCCCTGACTGCATTACTTGACACAGTGACTCGAGGTGTCTTTGTGTAAGACAATGGTTAAGCCCTGCACTACAAACAAAAGGATCCGTGGCTTTATCCTACCCAGATGCACCAGGGGATACATGGCTTTACACTGCTCCCCAAAGGTCACAGCCATGAAGACATTCTGAGGCGAAGGTCCACTCTGAACACTTGGGGCTGCCATAGATGGAACGGCGTGGGTGGTGACGAGTAACAATACTGTATCTAAAGCAATACTTCATGCATAGAAATCACTCTATAAATATTTTCATTTTACTGCATTATTTTAAAAGTACAAACACAAAAAGGCAGTTCTAACCTTATATTTCTTAGAACAGTACATTTGCAAACCCCATTTGGAATGTCATTGACGGCATCTTTGTCATGGTTTTCTTTGACTTTATTGGGGCGTGTCAAGTGGCTCTAGCACAGAAAGGCAGTAACGAAGGAGCTACAGAAACTTAATGTCAAGTGTATCTGACCTTCATCTGGTTTGAATGCATTTCATGGTGTAAAAAAGAAAATAGATTAATCAGAAAATATCTTTATAATTGTCCGTGTCACATTGACAATGAGAGCTAACATCAAGAAAACATTTGTATATGTGGTTTCTTATAGGAAATTAGAAAAAAATGAGAAAGAAAATGCACTGGTATAGGACTCTGACTATTTAATCTATGTGTGCTTGTGTTTGTTGATATGTTTAATCAAATATTAGATAATAATTCCTAATTAGTCAGCCAAATCCTTTTAAAGCATTATACTGAATATTCCTAGTATATGATGTCTTTAGTCACATGTTAATTTGGAAGATAGTTGCACATTTTATTATACGATCCCTTGGTATGAGAAATATAGAACTACCAGCCATGGTTTTTGATAATGAATCATTTAGCAGGAATACAGTTATCAACTGTGTCCTCCTTAAAACAAAACACATATTGTTTTATCATGAAATATTAATATGTGGTATGAAAACACACCAAAGGAAAAATAAATCTGGCAAGCACTTGTATATATATTCATGGCCATCGAGTCGCTGCCAACTCATAACAACCTCATAGGACAGGGTAGAACTGCCCCCTGTCAGCTTCGAGGCTGTTTATGGGAGTAGAAACCCTGTCTTTCTCCCACTGGGTGGCTACTGGTCTTGAATTGCTCACCTTGCAGTAACAGCCCAATAACTACAGCACTGCCAGAGCTCCTTATACATACATTCTATACTACACTATACTTAAAAGTCAACCACTTTAAAGTCTTTAATAAAGTCTACAGTAAAAAACATAAGATGAGACCAATGAACTAATTGTCCTATTTACATTGAAATTATATATAGATCCACTAAGGAATTATTTTTACTTGATTCTCAAGTAATATACCATATTTTTTTCCTTTCAAAATTTATTGAATTATAGAAATTCACTTAAAGAGATCTTAATTTTTCTATGAAATTCAAAAATCAATAAAGATTTTGTCATACCATTTTCAATCCAAAAGACTAAAGTCCAATCACATTTCTTCTTCTCAGATCTTTTACACTGTGACCATATATTTTTAAGATGTGATTGTATAAATTAACATTTTCCTCAAATCGCTAAATTCTAAATCCTTCTGCTCTCATTTTCTGTACCTACTTTCTTATTCCATTCAAAGAGTAAAACAGGAAGAAAACACTATTCATAATCATTCAAATAATTTAAGACATGACTCACATGAGAAAGAAGACCAATTTTTAAATCATCTTTCAAAATAGGAAAACTACACTTGAAATAAGACAGAAACACAAGTTGCAGTGCATCCCCTTTGAAAATAAACTCTACTTGATTTCTTACAAAAAGACTTTAAATGGACATTTACCTTTTTTCTTATTTTTAGATGTAAGATGATATGTACATGTCTCTTTCTGATCTATATATTTAAATAAAACTGCTCAATTTACCACTGGTTTTAAAATAATGGTGCTCATTTGAATGGTATATACAAGGAAAATATATATAAAAAAAGAATTTTTCATATTTTATCCATTTAAATCAAATTATAAGTATCGACATTTAATACCAAATTAATGAACACCAATGAGGAAATCAAAGCTACCCATAATAAGCATTTTACCTGTTTTTAAATACAGTCAGGTTTAGATACACTTGAATGAATTCCAAAGTTCAAAATTGGTTCTATTATAAAGAAAAGGCTACAGCTTAAAACACAATATAAATATTACTGAAGTATTAATTCTTTATAATTACTTTGTTTCCTTTATCCCTATATGAATGTTAATTTGAAGTATATAAACCAATTCTCCAGATTTTAGGAATGAATGCACGATTGGTCTGTAAATGAATATATGCATAGCCAAAATTTTATTTGGCTCTCCGTTCAAAGAAAGCAGTGTCGGTGGATATTTGGGTATTAGAGTTCAATTCACTCTGCTTTCTTTTTCCAGAGTTTTATAAACAAAATGAAAAATGTGGATGTAGCTAGGAAGCACATCAAGAAGTGTTTTAAGATTTACAAAAAATTATATACTCTGAAAACCTAATCGAAATTAGCCAGAAGCCCATTTATTACTTTTGCTTTCCACCCTAGAGTCTGACTCCTATATCTGCTAACCGGGTAGGGAGAATATCTTCAAAGTCAGAGTATCGCCTGCACTGTTGAGGACTTCTTCCTCGTTTTATAACAAAGAATTCTCTTACTCATGAGAATTCTTCATCTGATAATAGCTCTTGAAGATGGAAACAGTTTTTTAAATTGTCTTCAAGTTGACCTTAATCATTTTGCCAGTAAAACAGGTGGTGGTGAGGGGATATAGAGTTCTTATAAATAATCACTTTCAAATAATTTTCAGGAATAAAATGATGGAAGTCTCTTCTTAACAAAAGAGATATTTGGCAAACTATTAAATGTACACACTCTGTATCAGGCTTTCTCTGCCTTTGTTAATAGCACACATTTAAAGCATATAATCAGTAAATTGCAAATATGTTGCCAGATATTATGTTCTTTAAAAGCAGAATGAATAAATATGAATACAATCACTGTTCTTTAATTTAATTGTTAATTTGTGTATGTAACACTATTACAGAGCATAATGAGTAGGGCAAATTTCTCTTTACATTTAATTTTATTATTAATTAGTTGAGTTACACATATCAGTGCTATCCTCTTCATACTTCTATAGGTACTGTGTGGCAGAGGAAGAAAATAAGCCAAATGTAACACTTTGTGATTTTCTTTTCCATCTTGCATTAAAAAATAATTTTATTAGTTTCCATTAAGTTTATAAATCACCAAAACTAAATGTAACTGGAGTTCTGCTTATTCATGTGTCAAGAGTGATTTAAATATAGCTAGATTGAAAGTCAGGTGAAAATTGACCTAAGTAAAGAATGAGCAAACAAGTAGGTATCCTCTTGGGAGTAGAACATCTTGGAAAGGTATCGTGGGCTCATATTTTCAACTATCTGTATGTCAAACTAGGCATAAAAATATAAAACAACAAATAAATCATATTAAAATGTTTTCTAGGCATAAAACTAAATAAATATTAAATATCAGGTAGCCCTCTTTTATAAACACAAACTAGTAGGTTATATTTAAATAAAGTTGAATTAAAATCCTTCTCACTTTAAAATGAGGATGACAGAATGGACACATTCATGATCCTCATACAATATCAGTAAAATTAAAAAGTAAAAATATAAAATAGTATTTTCATTTACTGGTTCACATATACTCATGTAAATTATTGTAGAAGCTGCTACTTATAAATCTTGGAAAACTTTAAATACTTAGAATATTCTTCACACTTAACCACTGGTTTCTCTGTATTTTGAACTTCATATGACTGAATTACAATAGATTTGATTGGATATGGTTAGGATTCTTAATATCTTTATCTGTGAAGCTGGACTTATAAGTAAAGATAGCCAACCCAATATACTAGATTGAACAAGACAAAAGCTGTTGGGAAAAATATTCGAGAATAAGAGTCGATTTTGGCGATGCGGATGTGGATCCTTCCTTCCCGCCAAGACCCTGTTCTACAGTCTTCAAAACAGCAGAAGAAACTGGCACAATCCTTGCCCTCCAGGCACTGACACCCAGAGTCCTCTTCCCCAGGGGGCAGGGCAATGCTATTCATTGGAATCAGCGTGGATCCCGGTTGGAGGCCAGAGGACATCTAAGGAAAATAATAAATGAGTTTTGTGAATAAAAGTGTCATAAGGGCAAACCAGTTTGCCTCCTTAAACTAAACTCGAGGAGACTGGTAGGTAATAAAAATAACCTTGTTTTCTGAAATTCAAGTACTATTTTTAACTCTAACATTTGGATCAGAGTATAATTTACTAGTGACGCAGAGCTTAATATTTTCCACATTCTAAAGATTATATAGAAGAGAAACACGGCCCAAGTACAATGTATGTTTTTAACTATAGAAACTTGATCTTTCAATAAATAACAATTAAACATAACAGACTACATTAAACTTTTACAATGCTGTAAATGTCACTGTTTGGTATTACATATTATGTTATTTATTATTTATTTAGTAATAACCAGAACAAAATCAACCCAAAGCACCTTCCTAATGAAGCCTTGAAAAGCTATGTGAATGGATACAGAAAAATATGAGCTTTGTATGTGGATAAGCACAAGGCACCATATTTGGGAGAGAGAATGTGTAGTATTCAAAAACTCCAATTTGTACATAATTGGTGCTCAAAGTATGTTTATTCGACCAATGCAACTTTTCTTGTATGGGGATTGTATTTGCTCATTTTAATGGAAGTTTTGTTGAATAACTTTCATAGCATGGACTCAATTTCATAGCATATATTCCATCAAACCCAGTAATAATTATTATTATTAACATAATGATTTAGGGTATATATTAAATTCATTTTTTATGATACTACATTTTGAATAATATGCCCCTGTAGATTAGAGGTTACGTGGCCAATGGCTAAACACAGTTCCACAGTTTGAGTCACCACCTGCTCTGTGGGAGAGAGAGGATGCATTCTTAGACTCAGCAACTCTTCATCTCTCAAATGTCTGCATATTTTAGAGATTATTTTGATATGTAAATTTTACTAATTATCATCAGTTCGAAGATAATTTTGAGGTTATAAAACTTGTTTTAAACATCTCTTAAATTCTCCCCACATAAAATGTTTACAGATTCTTTTCACTCTGTGTTTTAGATACATTCCTAAGATGTGAAACGTAAACATATTATGAAAATCCATTTTAATGTGATTTTTAAAATGGGAACTTAAATAAATTTGGATCTACATTGAATTTGAATCAGCAAGCAGAGGCATGCCTTAGAGCAATCATAATAAGTTCTGCTATTGACCACTGGAATAAAATGAATATGGTAATAAAGGGAGTCACATACATTTTTTTTCTTTTCTTTCTGGAAAGTGCATATAGGAATTCTGCTTACACAATAGTGAAATCTATTAAACACGCACTAAGGTTATGGACAAGGTTCTCTATACGGTAAGAATGACTAAATATGACACAGATGTGAGGTGAGCACAATACGGTTGGAAGTGGTGCCGATAGACATGCTCAGTGCAAGGTTTCCACCAACTAACCTTTCTAAATTCCCCGGAAGAGAAAGAATTATCACTAGCTTCAGCTCAGGCAATGAGGCCAAGGTCAGACATGCCTCTACCCTCAATCTTTTTACTAATTCTCACACCCACTTTCCTTCCAATAATACTCTTTACTTCTCTACTGAGTTTGATATTTCATTGTAATGGCAACATGAAACTCACAAATAATAGTCACTATTGTGGGCAAAAAACAGGTTACAATTTAGGGTCAGAAATGACTAAGCATACAGTTCTTCTGAGGTCAGTCACCTCCCAGTCACACGCGGACACATGTTTCTTTCAAGCTGTTAACACATAGGCCAGTCTCACTCTGTTCATGTGTTGCAAAGATCTTGTAGCTCTGCCTGTAAGCTCTCGACACCCCATGATGCTAGCAAACTTCTTGGTCAAAAGTATTCAGTTTACTCGCTCTGTGGGCTGGGAAAGACACAAGGGGGTATGTCGCCCCCCAAAAAACGGAATTTTTTTTCAAAGCTATGTATTTACATGTTTTAACAAAACAACCTTATCACCTTCAAAGTAGTCTCCATTACTTTCAATACATTTGTCAAATCTGTGATTCCATTCTTTAAAACATGTTTCAAATTCATCTGTTTGGATAGCTGAAAGCACCTCCCTTGTTTTTTTCCTCACCTCTTCTATGTCATCAAGTCACTGCCCTTTCGTGTCCCTCTTCATTCGTGGAAACAAAAAGAAGTTGCATGGAGCAAGTTCAGGTGAGTCGGGTGCATGGGGCAAGAGAGCCAGGGTGTTTTTTGCCAAAAATTGGTGCACTGAGATGGCTACATGAGCAGGTGCACTGTTGTGGTGGCAAAACCAGTCCCCCATCTGCCACGAATCAGGCCTTTTTTGTCACGCACTGCTATGGTATCTTTTCAGAATCTCTAAACAGAAAACTTGATTACAAGTCTGACCTGGTGGAATGAACTACAAGTTCTCTATGAGTCGATATTTTTGTCCATTTGGGGAGTTGACAGACATCCAGAACGAGGTTTGTCATCAATCTACCTTTCACCTTTATTAAATGAGAAAACCCTTGTACACTGGAGTTTTTCCCATAGCGCTGTCTTTATAACCTGTGTTTAACACCACAATATAGTTTCCATGACATTTTTCCCAAGGAAGAAATGAAATTTCACAGCCACAAGCTCTTCTCTTAAAATGCCATCACAAAAAATACGAGGTTTGAGGGTAACTGCTCTTACAAAAAAATTCACTGTGTCTGGAAAGAACCTTCCCAGGCAGTGCCACTGGATGCTTGCCTAGTGGGGGAGGGGTGGGGTGGAGTGGGGGCTTTTTTCTTTTCCATTTGGGGGGCTACTCCCTCAAATGGCTCTGTCTCATGCTATCGGTTCTGTTATCTCTACTGCTGCTATTTTCTGCCATTATTTCTCTCCATCTCTCTTTGTCTCTTATTTCACAGCTCTCTCCTGAATCTAGGAAGTTCACTACAGTGATCTCGGGTTCAAAGAATGTGCTTCACTCTTGACTCTTTCTTGGTAGTACTGAGAATCCCCTTTCTGTCACTGGGATGACTCATTTTTAAGCCTAGAACAGTGGCAAAACTGTCCAATCCCCACAGTTGGATTCAATGTACCTTATTTTTTGGGTACCACTACATCAAAGGGATCATGTCCTTAGCTGGCATTATTGGCAAGCTATCCAGTCCCTTTGGTAGCCCACAAACAAACTCCCTGTCTTCAAGTTGATGCCAACTAATGGTGACCCTATAGGACAGGGTAGAATTGCCCCTGTTGCTTTGCAGGATGGTAACTCTTTATGGGGGTAGAAAGCCTTTACTTTCTCCTGAGGAGCAGCTGGTGGATTTGAACTGATGACCTTGAAGTTTTCAGCCTCACTTGTAACCACTACCTCACCAGGGATCCATAGTGGACCCTAATCACCTTATATTTATGTAGTCTTATCTACTTATTTGATGAGAATTGCAAAGACTAGGGCTAGAAAGGCCATATTAAATAATTCACAGCACTGCATATAGATTTGAAAAGCGACAAGCATACTAATATTTAATTATGGTATTATTAATAATAGCCAAGTGGTAGAAACAACTCAGATGGTATTTAACAGAACAATGAATAAACAAACCTTGATACATAATTACAATGGAATAGTATTCAGGGAGTAGAAGAAAGGAAGACATGATACAGATAATATTATGAGTAGAGTTTGAATAGATTGTGCTGAATGAAATAAGCCAATCACAAAATAATGAATATTGTATAACCCTATTTATATAAAAAGGAAAGGCTAAAGAATAGAGAACAAAGTTTATTAGTGGTTACCGTGGGTGAGATTTTCTTCAACTTCAACTTATATATTAGCAATGAATGGTCTATTCCACATTACAACATGTCCTTGGCAGACAAATTTAGAGACTATCTCAAGAATATATATGACACATTGAATAACAACAACAAAACTTTAAAACAACAGGAAGGAAGGAAGGAAGGAAGGAAGGAAGGAAGGAAGGAAGGAAGGAAAGAAGGGCTAATGTGACTCTGAAACTTGCTCATGAATGTTGAGTAGCTCAATCAAATGGAATGAATGATGACATAAAAAAGCTAAACAGAAAATTTCAAAGGGCAACTCAAAAGAAGAAAATATTATAATGAAAAACTGAAGTTTAAAAGCCAATAAAGGAGAACTTGTTCAGGATGTCTCAAACTGAAAGACTTGAAAAAAAATCAAGGTTTGAATTAAACCAAGATCTATAGGCAAAAACTTAAATGATACAAAAAGTATCAAAAGAAGGCAAAGGGCATACATAAAGGCTTAAAAACAGGCATGTACATATGTAAATATGTTTATGATGATGGAGGAAATAGATCTATGTGTATATATGTATAAGTTTAGTAGTAGGGTAGCAGATGGGCATTGGGCCTCCACTCATGTACTCCCTCAATATAAGAACACTTTGCTCAACTAAACAGTCATTCCATGATACCCACCTTCCTGACACAATCGCTGAAGACAAACGTGTGCATAAGCAAATGTGGTGAAGAAAGCTAATGGTGCCCGGCTATCAAAAGATATAGAGTATGAGGTCTTAAAGGCTTGAAGGTAAACAAGCAACCATCTAGCAGAACAAACAATCCCGAGGAGAAAACTATGGGACCTGCAGTTCCAAGGGAGCCTTGGTAAAGGAAGGGGTGGGGAGGGGCAGTGGGGAGCCAAGAAACTCAGAGATAAGGGAACAACATGAGATCTAAAATTGATGGTGAGGAGGGCATATAATGCTGGTTGGGCTTGATCAAGAGCACCTAGAGGAAATGCTGAAGCCAAATGGAGGGTGAGCATGATAGTGGGATAGGAGGAAGGTTAAAGAAAATATAGGAAAGAAATAGGAGGGGGAAAAGCTATTTATATCAGGATAACTACAGGCATGTATCTATGTAAATATATTTATTTATAATGAAAGGGATAGAGCCCATGCACATATATTTGTATGATAAGTATTAAGATAGCAGACGGACTTTGAGCCTCTACTCAAGGCCTCCCTTGACACAAGAACACTTTGTTCTGATAACCTGACACT